AGAGAGAGAGAGAGAGAGAGAGAGAGAGAGAGAGAGAGAGAGAGAGAGAGAGAGAGATGAGCGATACAAGTTTGGTTGTCACTTACCTGTGAAGCGTGCCGTGCAGTCCCATGAAGTGAGAGGCGGCCATAGCCCCGGAGCTCGACCACAGAGAAACGAAGGAGGGTGAAAAAGAAGACCGAGGAGGAGACTGAGGAAGGTGAAAGAAGCCATAGCCGAGGAGGTGAAGGGAGAGACGAACATAAAAAAAAAAAAAAGGCAAAAGAAGACAACAGGGGTGAAGAGAAAGGAGGCGAGGTAGGGAGAAAGGAAGGAGAAGCGTGGCGACGAAGGTGAAGCCGGCCGCCATAGCCGGAGTTGACGGGAGGTGTTGACCGGGGTTGACCGGCGTTGACCGGGAGTTGACCGGAGACGTTGACCAAGGCCGTTGACCACGAGTTTGACCAAGCTGGAGCTGGTATAATCTCGCCATGCCTTCTGCCTATCCCCTCGCCCTATGGATGTGCGCACACCCTGTGGTACTTGCTGAGTCAAGTCTGTCTGTCTCTTCTTTTTGCATTGAGTCTCTTCTGTCCTAGGTGATAAAATCTGTGGATGAAGGATAGGGCCTTGTTGACCAAACCCACACGGGCTGAGTAGGGCTAAACATTGTGTCTGACGACTTGACTGTCCCGGAGGACACGAACCTTCCCAAGGACCGGTACTGACCGGCGGGCTGCTCGGTGTGGCACGCTAGGCCCAAATCCGAGTTGTGGGCTGCACAACAGGCCGCCTAAGTCTTGAGAAGACCTGCTGATCGCGTTGTCTTATCTATGACGTTAAATAATTCCTGAGGAGTTATGGGGGATCTCCTTAAATGCCTCCTGATCAGCAACAGGTCTTGTAGTGACAACCTTAGAGTAGGTCTAGGCTAGAGACCCTAGTTGACAGGATCCTGTCCGGATTCTGTAAGTCCTTAGATTGAGTCAGTCGGTCAGCCAGTCAGAGGAAGTGGTGAGGAGTGGAACCGATTGTCTGCTTGTGCACCAATCACCATGGTTGACACCCGTAGTGGGAAGAGTACTGCCCCCTTCGAGGCCGAGCAGGCCCAGATTGCTGCCCTTCTTAGAGAGAAAAAGGAGAAGAGAGAGCTCCTTAAGCAGGCAAAGTTAAAGGCCATTGAGGAAGAGGAGGCGGCGAAGAAGAAGAGATTGGAGGAGGAGATGTTGAGGTTTCAAAAGGAGAAGATGTTACAAATACAGCTAGAGGAGGAGGAAAGAAGAAAGGCTGCCGAGGAAGAAGCAGCAGCAGAAGAGGAGGAAGAAGAAGAAGAAGTAGAACCCCTTGAGAGAGGGCGCAGGGAGCAGAGAGGCAGGACAACAAGTGACACGAAGGAGGAAGACAGATGGAGGGAGAAGAAGATTAGTGAATGGGTGGCTAACTTATCTTTGGGAGAAGACGACGAGGCACAACTATATGTGCCGCATGAGGAGAGGGAGGCGTTTGCCAGGGCCCTGGAGCTGATAGAGGATCCCCTGGAACGCCAGGCGACAGAGGATGAGAAAAAGTTGGAGTGGAAGTGGAAGATGATGAGAGAAAAGAAGAGAAGGAGGGAGGAAGCCAGTAGAATAGCCGGGGAGGTTGAGCGAGTGCGAACCGGCAGGCAGGAATTGCAGGCCCAAACAGAGGTCTCTGCCAAGCTAGACAAGATGATGGGCTTCCTGGAAGTCCTGAGCAAGGCCTGGCTGGAGGAGCACCAAGCCCGTAAGGGTCAAGAGGTGACCCTGCAAGCAATATGATCCGGGTTCAGGGAGTTTGCGAGCGACGTGGTGGGCCACGTCGGGGCCGAAATCAGAAGATTGAGGGATGGCGTAGACAAGTTTTGTGCTGGCGCCATAGAGACCGCCAAAGTTGTGGCCACAATAGAGGCCACGGCGCGTCCCTGCAAAGAGCCAGTCAATTTAAAATTTCCTGATCCATATAGCGGGAAGAAAGAGGAAAATATCGATAACTGGGAGGCCAGCATAAACACCTATGTCTTTTTACAGCATATTGCTCCCGAGGAGCAAGTCCTCGTCGCTTTCCACGCTCTAAAGGACGAAGCGGCTAGCTTCGCCAAGTCCCTTGCACGTGCCGCAGATTGCGAGCACAACATGATCGCATATTCTAGGCTTACCCCCCTCAAACTCCTGCGCGAGAGATTTGTTGACGTCAGTAGAGGCGTCAGGGCCTCCGACAAGCTCCAAACCATCCATTCGCGACAGTGGAGGAGTGCGAGAGCACTCAAAGCTGTAATGGACGACTTGGTAGCCGTCCCGGACCATGGAGTCACTGAGACCCAGTTGGTTCAGTTGTTTTATCGTGCCATGCCAGAGCCCTTACGAGGGCACTTCTTTGACAAGACCCAACAGCCCAACATCACATACGATGCGTTGAGTAGGGAGGTGGTCTGGTTTGAGGCCAAGTCCACGCCAGTTTCCACTTTCTGGCACAAGGACTTAGACAAAGGAAAGAAGTGGAAAGGACGTACCATCTCTGGTCAGTTTAGGGCCAAGGATCATATGATCCTTACGTTGGAAGAAGGTGGTACTGACGAGGTCCCGTACAGTCAGATTGAGCGGGGCCTCGAGGAGGAGGACAGTAACATAGGACAAGGGAGGTCCTATGCTATTGTCGCGGCTGGAGGGAGGCCGCAAAGTAGAGGTGGAGGCCAGGGCCAAAGGGGCCAGGCCACGGGAGGCAAAGGATCGGGCGCTCAGGGGGTTGGCGGCCAAAGGAACCGCCAGGAGGGAGGCAGGGGTCAAGGTCCACCGCCAAATCGTCAAGGTCTCAGTCGGTCCCCGCTGAGACGAGGTGGAGGATCACCTCAAAGGAGAGTAGGTTGGCACCCAGGTTGGCCGCAAGGCCGGCCCTGGGAAGATCTGGGCCTAGAGCAGAGAGTCTGGAAGCAACGTGTGGAGCAGGGGCAGTGCATCTACTGTGGTGACCCGACCGATATAATAAAATATTGTCCGAAATATAGACAGGCCCGTTGGGCTGCCCAGGAGTCAAAAGGTAGCCACCGGTAGGGGTTGCAACTGCCCCTACTATTAGGCCATGTCAGGAAGCGAGCGCGCGCGTACAGGTAACTCCCACACCACATGAGCCTTCGGCAGAGGTTGCAGGCCCGTGTCTAGTTAGCTGTCCATAGACTGCTTGTGTCAGCGTCTTTCTAGGCATGTCCCTCATAGGCGTGGCAGAGGAATTGAAGGAGAGGATGCCTGCCTGGGCCAAGATGAAGAAAGATAGTAAAGGGCAGCTAGTCCTAGTGGATGTAGAAGTTAGAGTTGGGGCCCTTGTAGACTCAGGGGCCCCCTGTAGTTATATTAGTCGTAGAGCGCTGAAAAAGTTGAGGCTAGGATTGAAAGTCCAGAAGTTGGAAGACCCCATAGTTAGTGTCCTCGCAAACAACCGCACTATGCGTGTTGAGGACTACGTAGAGGGAGTCCAGGCGTACTTCCGCCTAGAGAAAGATGGGAAGGTGGAGAAAGTTCTCCATTCCCTGACTTTCCTCGTTCAAGATGACCTTCCTTTTGACATAGTCCTAGGCATGGACTGCGGAGAGGCAGCAGGGGCTACACTCCACTTGAGAGAGCATGAGTGTAGGCTCCCTAGTCCGTCTGGCGAGGTTAAGACTGCCCGCAGGAGTAGACAACTCCTTGGCACATTGCTGTATCGGTGCTCCCGCGTTTGCGCGACTAGTGAGAAAGGAACAGTTAGAGGATCAGGTCTTCGTAGTGTATGTTAGACCTGACACTGAGCCTAACCAAAAAGATAGTTCCACGGATCCAGCCATTGCCAAGCTGCTGGAAGAGTTTAAAGATCTCACAGAGCCGCCGACAAGAGTAGTGTCGCGGCCGATCTTGCACAGGATAGAGATAGAGCCCGACAGTAAAACTCCTAAGGGTGCAGTCTACAGGATGTCCCCTAGAGAGTTAGAGGAGTTGTGCAAGCAACTAGACGAGCTCCTTGAGAAGGGTTGGATTAGGCCCAGTTCGTCTCCTTTTGGAGCACCAGTTTTATTCGTCCCCAAGAAGGAAGGAGAGCTGCAAATGTGTATAGACTATAGGGGTTTGAATGCTATTACAGTCAAGAATGTTGAACCACTGCCCAGGATAGATGATCTCTTAGATCGGGTGCAGGGTTGCAAGTATTTCTCAAAGATAGATTTGAAGTTCAGTTATCATCAGATAGAAGTCCATCCTGATGACCAATACAAGACTGCGTTCCGGACTAGATATGGGCATTATGAGTTCATAGTGATGCCCTTTGGACTGACCAATGCGCCAGCGACATTTCAGCGATGTGTGAATGATCTATTTAGGCCTTGGTTAGATAGATTCGTCGTAGTGTATTTAGACGACATCTTAAAGTCATGGTCGTAGTTGATAGATTTAGCAAGTTTGCTATTTTTGTTCCTTTGCCTGCAGAGGCACGTACCGAGTTAGTTATTCAGAAGTTTTTCGACTTTTAGATTAGCGAGCATGGCGTCCCATTGTCTGTCGTTAGTGATAGAGACACCCGCTTCACTAGCCAGAACTGGCAGGAACTAATGAGAGTCTATGGGTCTAAGTTGTTGATGTCGTCTGGCCGCCATCCAGAGACTAATGGTCAGACCGAGCAGATAAACAAGATCCTGCAGCAAGTTTTGCGCATGTACATTAGACCCGATCAGATTAACTAGGACGAGATGTTACCCAAGGTAGCGAGTGCATACAATAACAGCGTGCATTTGTCCACCTGTCGCACTCCCAACGAGTTGCACAAGTCCTTTAGACCACGTAGACCGTTTGAGGGACTTAACCGGGATCAGATTCACAGGCTACCGCCCGGTACCAGGGAGTTTGCGATACAGCATGAGAAAGAGATAGCCACTGTTGTTGAGAACCTCAGGAAGGCCCAACACCGGATGATAGAACAGCTAATAAGCATTGTCGCCCATCGCAGTTTCGGGTAGGCGACCTGGTCTGGGTCAAGTCTAAAGAGTTTGCGCCTGAGGAGAACATCTCGCAGAAGTTACTGCCCGCTTATAGAGGACCGTGGCCAGTTCTAGAAGTTAAGGGCGGAGAGGATGGGACGTCCTACACCATAGAGATCCCAACACATTTCCACACCTACCCTGTGTTCCACGCATCAAAGTTGTTGCCGTGTGTCACAAGTCAACAGTTTCCATCTAGACAGTCCATGATTCCTCCAGACATGGAGGGAAGATATGACATTGACGGCATTGTAGGTGAAGATGTGTTCAGAACAGGAGGTAGAGGTCGTCCACAAAAGCAGTATAAGGTCCGGTTTGCTTATCAGGAGCCGGAGGATGACCGCTGGTTCACTAGAGCAGAACTTCTAGAGACAGCTCCCGATATAGTTAGAGCCTATGAGAGAGATAAGAAAGGGAAAGGTCCTGCCTTGGACTGAGTTATTCTCGAAGGACCTTGAATTTAGGTCCCCGGGAGTGAAACGGTATTCACCAGTTCGCAGTAGCTGATGCAGATCCCAGGGCTCGATCCCTAGTCCCCACCTTACCTGTGTACAGTATCTGTGTCGACCCCTAGAGTTGAACCCGTGACCTGTGMATTTGTAACARYTSGTAGGTTGTCGTAGGGTCCACAGGTAGCAGGGATTCGATCTGTAGACCTGTCGAGTARGAGTTCCAGTCAGGTCTAGCAGTCGTAGCTGTAGCTGTCTCGAAGGGTCAAGGTTGTAGCTGCTACAGTCCGGAAAGGTCAAGGTCGTAGCTGCTACAGTAACGAAAGGCCAAGTCCACGGCCTTCCGCAAGGTCCCAGTAGTGGCCTTTCGAAGTTGCCCACGTTTAGGCTGAGGCAAGTGGGCAAGTGGTGAGGCAAGTGGGCAAGTGGTGGAGTCTACCCGTGCTGAGTCAACAGTCCCAGTCCCCAGTCAGTCCTGGTCCAGTCAAGCAAGTACCGCATGGGACTGTGTGCACTACGGGCATGGGAAAGGGCCAGACCAATGAGCTGCAGAAGTATAAATCAAGAGGCAGTGCCCAGCCATTCATTCACTCCTGCGTGAGCCATGCGGAAGCGCTGCCACAAGCGACTTGCGCGAGGTGGTCTGCAGTGCGCCCGAGGACGAAGTGGGCGAGAGACGAGTGTAGCCATAGCGATAGGGTAGTAGCGGCCATAGCCGCCATAGCTGTAGTAGAGTTCAGTGTGTGTGTGTGTGTGTGTGTGTGTGTGTATGTGTTCAGAGTATAGCGTGTGGGATATCCAGGGTGATCCTGTGTATGCGAACAGAGAGTTGTGTGGGCGCTGAGTCGCCATAGCCATCGAAGTGAACTTGAATCTGAACTGTGTTCTCGGTTACCATATCTCTGAGTTCCGAGTGGGCGCTTGTCGCCAGTTTGCTGCGCACCTGTTTGCATGCGTGTGAAGTGTGAATGAGAGCGAGTCTGATTGCACTTTTCTCGTTTTTCTTTTCTTAGGAGTATGTGCAGTGGCCCTAAGGGCCTCTACAAACCAAATGCACAAAAGACAAAACATATGGTGGCGTATTATTCCACGTTCTGCAGAAGATTGATTTTTATTTTGCACATTTCGTGAGTAGTGCAGCCAAGCCCTAAGAGTCACGTGCTCTTACATGCTGCGCCTGCACACGAGGGCCATTTTCCAGGCCCTGCGTCCCTCAGGCTGAAAGCCTGAAATTCAGGCTGAAATCCTGAAAACCAGGGCCTACAGGCCCCGTGTCTGTTCAGCTCGAAAGCCTGAAAAACAGGGGCCTACAAACCCTGTGTTGTTTCAGACTAAAAATGGCAGTAGCCTTTTTAGCCTGAAACGAAGGGCCATTTTCAGTCTTTCATCAGACCGACCTGCCCTGAAACTCAGGCACCAAACCAGGGTTTTAGGAACAGGCTATTTTTGGCCTGCTCCCACGACAGCTGCAGCGCCAGACCCTGGCTCAGTTTGACATTGGCAAGAGCAGCCTCCTGGACTGCCCGCCCTGCAACTGCAGGAAGTCGGACGCAGTCAGGAGGCAGGCCGAGGAAGTACATAGGGACTTCCCATGCACTTCACGGGTAGGCAGGAGGCAGTCAGCGGTCTTCAGGATTCAGCAGCAGCACTCTGGAGGAACGCTGCAGGAGTAGTAGTCGTAGCGTTAGCAGTAGTCTTCAGCGCTGGGCGCTAGTAGCGTTAGCTGTAGTCTTCAGCGCTGGGCGCCATAGCTAGAGTATTACTATAGGGAGAGAGATTGGGCGGAGGCCAGAGGGACTTGCCTGCAGCGCCATTGCTCCAGCTCCGTCTTCGAGGTACCTGCAGCACAGCGCCATCTTCACAGGTCAGTTCCTGGCGCATGAGAGAGAGAGTTCTCCTTCTTCCTCTTCTCAGTCCGCCATCTCTTTCTCACCCTCTCGCTATCTGACTTCACTGCATCAGCAGACTACGCGAGGGAGAGAGAGAGAGAGAGAGAGAGAGAGAGAGAGAGAGAGAGAGAGAGAGAGAGAGAGAGAGAGAGAGAGAGAG